TTTATATTATAAATTCTTTATTAAAATATTATGGTTCTTGTCTTTTTCTTTTCTTTCATCTCTACTTCAAGCTATCAAGAATTTTTTTTCCATCTTATAAATTAAATTTTAAATATATAAATATATTTGTATTTATAGATTATATATTTATATATTTATACGGATATATATTTATTTGTATATGAATATAAATTATTTGTAAGTTATTATTGAAAAATCCTAGTAGCTTAGTGATTGAAGTGTTAACCTCCAATTCTAAGGTACTAGATTCGAATCTTGTCATTGACAATAATAATTTAAACTTCTAAAAAATGTAATGAATAATAAAAATATAATATAAAGGAGAAGGTAATAAATAATAAAAATATAGAGAAACCTCTAGATAAATAGAGGGCTTATAAATAAATAAAAAATGTAAATTTAACTTTGTCATTGATTTAACGACTGAAATTATTGGTCGCTATTTTTGTATTAAATTATTATTTAAATAATTTAATTAATATATTAGCGACCAATTTAATATATTAATTTTGGTTGCTATTTTGGCATCTAAGAAATAAGTAACACGAATTATTTAGCGACAGAAATAAAAATTGGTCGCTAAGACATTTGCGACTTGGTCTTTTACAACGACACATTTTGGTTGCTAATTTCGGTCGCTAACTTATTAGCGATCGATTTTTTATATTTACGACGAATTTTTCGATCGCTAAAACTGTTTTTCTTGTAGTGTATATCTTCTTGAATCACAATTCCTTTCAACTCAATAGGATAACCTTGCATTAAGTTCAAGAATATAAAAATTATCAATAACTCATTCTTCATTCCTAAATAAATAATTTATTGATTATCTTATCTTAAGTCATGAACTTATAAGGATTTTTCAATCTCTTATAAATACAACTAATTTATGTTGATCAAGCCACAATAATGTTGGGAACACAAATGCAATATAAGACGAGAGTAAATAATAAGAATTTTTACATGGTTCGATTCAAAGTGACCTACGTCCACGGTTGCACTAGATGATAATTCTTATTCACACAATTAAGTTTACAATTACATGACTATTTATAATAAAAGAATAAGTAAATGGGTCAGAACCAATAACCCTTCAGATTCCACATACTTAACAATCTCCCACTTGGAGGTTGATCACATTAAGCACACTACAAAGTAAATCTAGTAAACTTCAAAGTTATAACAACCTCAAACTAGTGCAATGTCTTCTCAATAATTAATCATGAAGGTCAGTTGAAGTTATGCAAAACTTCAACTTCTCAGTAGTAACCACCTTGGTCAACATATTTGTAGGATTCTTTGATCCAAGGATCTTCTCCAAAAATAAAGTATCATCACTTATTAGTCCTCTAATGAAGTGATACCTCAACTGGATATATTTTGTTCTTGCATGAAATACAAGATTTTTTGCAAGATGAATGACACTCTGACTATCGCTATAAAGAGTATTGTCACACTACTCCTTGCTTAGCTCCTCAAGAAAATTCTTCAACCAAATCATTCTGAAAGTGCAACACTTTTCGAAGTCCAGACGTCCAACTAACTATTGTACCACCTATTGTGAAGACAAATCATGTAGTACTCTATCTTGTGTCTAAACAACCTCCCAAATCTGCATTGGAATATCCTTTCAAAATGACATCATTTCTTCTAAAACATAATGCAGTTTTAGAAGTACCTTTCAAGTAGCGTAACAACCACTTGACAACTTCCCAATGCTTCCTTCCTGGATTAGACATGAATGTCCTGATAACTCCCACTTTGCATGAGCAATGTCCGGTCTAATGCATACCATTGCATATATTAGGCTACCGAATGTAGATGCATAAGGAGCTTTAGTCACTGCTGCCTTGTCTTCATCTGTCTTAGGTGACTCCTCTTGAGTGAGATTAAATTGAACTCTAAAATGTATACTTACGATTTTGGCATCCTGCATGTTGAATTTCTCTAACACTTTCCCAATATACTTCTTTTGAAATAATATTAAGGAACCTTCAAATTTTTTCCTGCTGATATTCATGCGCAAAATCTTCTTTGCAACACCTAAATCCTTCATTTCAAACTCTTTAGACAATTGTGCTTTTAATCTATTAATTTCATCCATGTTAGAACCTGCAACTAACATGTCATCAACATACAGTAGTAATATGATATAAGATGAACCAAAATTTTTCATATAACAACACTGATCCATGACACACTTCTTGTACCCTATCCTACTCATAAAACTATCAAACTTTAAGTACCATTGTTTAGGTGTTTGCTTCAACCCATACAAACTTTTGGTCAAATTGCAAACCAAGTTCCCCTACAACTTGAAAACCCTCCTGGTTGCATCATGTATATGTCCTCATCAAGGTCACCATGTAAGAATGTTGTCTTAACATCTAACTGCTATAAATGTAAATCCTCTGCAGCCACAATACTCAACACAAGTCTAATGGTAGTCATTTTAACTACGGAGAGAAAAATATCATTATAGTCAATACCTCTTTCACTGAAAATCTTTCACCACTAACCTTGTTTTGTATCTCTTGTTGTCATCATGTTCTTTCTTGATCCTGAAGACCCACCGTTACTGTAATTCCCTCTTTCCTATTAGTAGGTCAGTCAAACACCAAGTTTTGTTTTTCTCAAGTGAGTTCATCTCCTCTTGCATGGCTAACCCCATTGAGCTGCATCATCCATCCGCAATACCTTATCATAACACAAAGGTTCTCCATCATCGAGTTAACAACAAGTAATTTGTTAAAGTAAAAAACCTATGAGGATGCCTAATAACTCTGTTGGATCTCCTCACTTCAACTACTGAGGTGATAGGAGTAGTCTCCTCAATAATCATGTCTCCTAAGCTCCCACATTTCTGATAGATTGTCTTTTATAATGTCCTTTAACGAGTACATTTTCCTTCTTTGTTGACTTCTTTTCGAGCTTTAACTTTTGTCTCAAGTTTATCCTTATACATTGCATTTTCATTAAATGTAACATCTCTACTTTTAATGATCCTTTTGTTCGATCATCCCGAAGCGATATCTCATATCATCTCGCTCCATAGCCAATAAAAATGCATTTTCTTGCTTTTGGATCAAACTTGTTCTTGTTAACATCTTTAACACGAATATAAGAAGCACAATCAAATAATTTCAAATGAAAAAGACTTACATCTTTGCCTTGCCATTCTTCCTCGGGAATCTTAAATCCTATGGGAATTGAGGGTCCTCGATTAATGAGGTATATTGCTATGCTACTGCTTTCACTTCGAGAATGTCTTCGGTAATCCTACATGAATTCTCATACTTTTTGCCCTCTCATTCAGGGTCATGTTCATTCTTTCAACAATACCATTCCGCTAGGTGTCTCAAGAATAGTTTTAAGCATTCTAATTTCATTCTCAACATAGTAATCAATAAATTCGGTACTACTATATTCACCACCGTTATCGGACCTTAAACATTTAATTTTTAACCTTATCTTATTCTCAACAATGGATTTTCACTTCTTAAAGGTATTAAATATTTCGATTTTTGCTTCAAAAAATAAACTCATACCTTTCTAGTGGAATTATCAATAAATGTGACATAGTATCGTGATCCTCCCAATGATGAGAGCTGATGTTGACTCATACACGTCTAAATGAACAAGTTCTAACTTCTCTACCTTGGGCATCCTTCCTTACTTGACAAAAGTAACTCTTCTCTATTTCCCAAACACACATGGTTCACAGAAACCAACTTCTACCTTTTCCACTTCTGGAATCTTCCCCTTTAAGACTAGTATCTTCATACCCTTTTTGCTCATGTGAACAAGTCTTTGGTGCCACAAAGTTGAAGAATGATCAAAATCATCACCAACATCATCACTAATTGAATTTACTTCTTCGTAGGTAATTCTCGCCATGTATAGGGTTCTTTTCTTCCAACCACGAGCAACAATTAGATTATCATTCACCACTTTTATCTATAATTATAAAAAATTAACTATAAAACTAAAAAAAATAATGTTAAAAAGTATTTAAAAAATGAAATAAGTGATTATTATACTTAATAAGTTAAAGGATATTTATCATATATTTAATAATAATATTTAATTTATTATTATCATTATTCAAATTCTACTTATATATAATCGTGTTAAACTATCAATTTTCCTTATTTATCGTAAAGTAATTTTAAGGTGTTAAAAGTTTGTGGACATTTTATTCGTCATAATTCTCTCCAAATGGCAAACTTATTAAGTACCTAAATTAATTTATACAATATTATTTCAATTTAATTTAATTAGTGGTTTTAACTTTGAATTTTAGATATGTGATTATTTCAAACTACCGTGTTTTTTATTTACGTGAAATATATCATCTCGAATAAAAGAGGTGGAGCAGAAAATTAGTCTTAAAGATTAATATATATATATATATATATATATATATATATATATATATATATATATACTTTTTTTAAGAAAAGTGTTAGATAATTCAAGTGTGAGTTTAAGTCTCACATTGAGTAAAAATGAGACAGTTAAGCAATATATAATGAAAAAAAGACTCATAACCCAATGTCTTAAAGTTTTTTGTTGAGAGTGATGTTAATCCCTTATGAATGTTGGGTTCATATATCATCAGTATTGTCTCTCCCAGATGAATCTCCCTTAAAAGACCTAATGAAAAGTATAATATAATTTTTATAATAAAATCTTAAAGAAATTAACTTTTTGAAGGGAATCATGGTCCCACCAATCCCCTCCTTCTAACCTTATATGAGTAGGATGACCTCCATGATATAGTCTCTAATAAAATATAACTTTGATTTATAAAATAATAAAAAATAACTTTATATATATAATATCTTATAAAAGAACATATGTAAAAAAATATAAATTTTTAATTTTTAACAAGTTTTCTATATAAGTTATAATACAATAAATGTAGAAAGTCTCTTATACCATTTTTGTAAATATAATTCTCTCCTTTTCCAAAACATTTAGCTCATTCTATTAAACCATTCTTCTTCTTCATCTATTCTCGAGTTGTTGATCTCCTTCTTCCTCTTCTCTATGAGTTTTGTCTTTACTATCGTCTCAATCTTCTCTCTTCTACCAATAACATCGTTGTCCACCTTGCATTGATAATATTATGAACATCGTCTTGATCTAACATCGTATGTGGTTGTGAAACCTCTCGTCCTCCCTTGTGTTGTCGTCATCAATTACAATCTTAACCTTTATCCCTCTCTCAATCGCAACTGGTGCTTTCAACCTTTGTCTCACCCTCTTCTATCATGGTCTTGCTCTCTCTTGCATTGTCGCCATTTGTTGTGATCTCAACCTTTGTCGCACTCTCGAACTCTATTGTATTATCATCCTTCGTCACAATCATGCACTCCCTTATGTTTTTGTTGTTTATTATAGTCCCAATCTCCATTCGTCATGCTCTCAATCGCAATCTCAACCTCTAGTGTAATGTCACTCTTCGTTGTGATTTTTCCCTCCTTCACTTATGTTTACAGGTTATTTTTTTTTATCTCTTAGGATCTGGGTTACATGATATTTATTATTACTTGAACAAATTATATATACACCATTACACAAACCATAATTAATTTTCTTGACTTTCAACGTCTTTTCTATTAATGATTCAAAAATCGATGTTATATACAAATCGACGTTAAATTGATTAAGTTCATGTCATTAAAAAATTTGAGATTTTTTTCTCAAAATTTAAAATTGACTCGATTCATGTAATTTAAAAAAATTATATATATACTCAAGCGTCTTCTACCATAATGTTGTAAGAATAAATATATTTGAAGGGGGAAATGTAGATAAGATAAAGTAAATGTTATTTAAAAATTGGGAGTAAATAAACGACATAACTAAAATATGTTATGTTTAAGTGAGCTTAAATATCAAGTTTCTAAATTTAGCTATATGTAATAATAAAATTACCATTATCAACTATCACTTTCAACATAAATTCCTAGAAACTTTAAAAGATTTTGCCATACGACATCATTAAAAGTTTATCAATATAAGACAAGAATATAATAATATCGATATTTTATGCTATCGTTAGATGAATAGAGTGACAATGATAATCATCCAAAACAATATCTGAATATTAGAATCCTTTAATTCTTCTTCTAATTGTGAAAGTAACTATTGTGGTTAGGACATTTATGATTAAAAAGAGTAAGCTTTTCATTTAAAATATAGCACTAACGTTTTATTTTTCCTATGAATTTGCATCTTAGTTAGGCTAATGAGTTTAACATTTCCATTTCTTAAGGGTTACAAAGCCTAGAATAAAATGGAAACAATGTTGATTTAGTAACAAATTTAATCTACTTACTACTTAGATTCAACGAAGAAGAGATGATTGAGAAATATTTAGGAACATGATTGTTAGTGTATAATTTCTCTGTAATCATCTTAATTATATTAAAGTATTTCGTATAATTTAACTAAAGCTACGACTTTCAACAAATAAGTGGGGACTACACCACGTCATGTGTAATATCATTAATCAAAATAATCAATAAAGTAATTCAATAAGATTTTAATAATTAACCCAACCAGCAATTAACTAAAACATAAATTTCAAGCAATAGTTGGTTCACAATTCAAAAAATTTGTCAGTGGAGAGTGGGATAGATAAATTAGGATTCTAATACTCTAATAATAAGATTTGTCAAAGTATTAATAATTGGTTAATTTGGAATTAATTTAAATGATTTTACATCCTAGCTTGTGCTTGATGTGATTGTTGCATGTTTCCAATTTTGTAGTCAAATAACTCAACCAAACTTCAAAGCTGTACATCATTTGCTTCCATTTCATTCAAATAAGTGTCATTAGTCATGAAAACTCAATGCATCAATGAAATAGTAAAATTATGGAATACTAGAATAGTTTTATGTATTGAAGATGGTATAATTTTTTGAGATATAAGTATGAGCATAATATTAGTATGGACGTAAAAAAAAATTATAATTATTAATTAAAAATTTGAAATCTTTCATATCATTTTGGGCAAATGAATAAACCATATCACTTATTTTTATTTTTTTATTAAATAATCATTCAAATTAAATATAAAAATCAAATACAATTTAGTTTAGTTCAATTTTAATTTAATATAAAATTTGAACTAAAGCAAATAAACGTTCGCAACTCGATTTAAATTAGTTTTATGATTTTTGTTATTATTGAATTGTTAAGTAAGTTTTAAACAAGTTATAAAATATTTTTGTTATATAAATCATTAAATATTTTATAATAAGAAATTTTTATTTAAAAAATATATTATAAAAATTATATAATTATGATTATACTAATAAATTTAATATCTCATAAATACATAATTTAGGACATAAAATACATTCTAATAATAATACATATAAATCTATTTAAAATGAGTGTTAATGTAAAAAATTATTTAAAATATTAATTTATTGACATCTAACAATTAACATTAAATAATCATCCAAGTGAATCTGTGTGCTTACAAAATTAAAGGGCCTAGCTATCGTGCTTTATGAGAAAAAAAATGCAAATTTGTATATGCTTATAAAATTTATGATTCTTAAGTTTGCTTATATTCCATTTAAATTTAAACATAAATTGTCACATTCGAAAATTAAATGTGGATATTTATTAATGATTGATCATATGAGACAAGAGAAAGTTAGATTTGTTTATAATGTGTTAAATGCGCCATGAAATTAACATACTCCATCAAAAGTCACTCGAAGGAAATTTGAAAGAATAAAAATCCTTTTAAATTTAAGTACAAGTTTGAGTCTAAGTTGTTAGACAAATGACATCTAGAAGGAGTGAATAGATGCACAAATTAAAATAGATATCAAATTAAAAATTTATGTGTGAGTCAATAATTTGTTTGAACACGAGATAAAGCGGAAACAATAATATAATCAGGAAAAGAGAAAGAGAGAGATAAGGAAAAGAGAAGAGCACACAGAGATTTATACTGGTTCGAGTATAGTCAACCCTACATCTAGTTCCCAGTCAACTCTTAACACAAGAGTGACTCCCAATTCACTATCTTTCAAATTCAGTTTACAAATTTCAATCAACTCAGCAGAAGAACCAGTAAAAAGTAAACTAATTAAAAAAGACAATCACCTCCTTAGAAACCTATTAAGGATGAACACCTCCCTAGAATCTCACTAGGGATGAACACCTCCTTTGAACAAATCAAATGATGAAAAAACACCTCCTTAGAATCACACTAAGGATGAACACCTCCCTAGAATCACACTAGGGATGGAAAACACCTCCTTTGCCACCAATACACAAAGGATGAATGTAATAATAAAAATAAGAACAGTCACACATGGGTAATGGAGACAACAAATTGTAGAAGCACTGTAAAATGTCAATCTCCAAGAACAAGTGTGATTAACAATGAAAGTACAGAAGGCGGTAGAAAAGAGGGTTTTCTCGAAAGGTGTAAAATATCTTTGTTGTCTTGTTCGAAATTCTTTTCTCAAAGCTGATTGAATATAAATTGTATTTTAGAATTTTGTAATTGTGTGTTTTTTTTTATCAAAACTTAATTAAATAGAAAAATAGCATCGAGAAAATGGTCGTTGGACATTAATAATATTATAGAAAAAATCAAGATGTATTAAAAAATATTATTCTTTAGAGACGGATATATTTTTCAAATTTGAATTGCCATAATTGATTATATTACTAGTATAATCAATTATGATAGAGAAAAATATGTTTCCATTTTTTATGCATCATAATTGATTATGACAGAGAAAAATATCATGTTATAAATTTTATAACACTTGTGTTTTGGAGGCTTATGCATAATATTACTTCATCAACATGTACCTCCATATTCAGTATTCTAAGACTCTATCTAGTCTTCAGGAAACATCTTGGGCTTGCTTGAATCAACATCTTTATCAAAAACATATCTTGGGCATGTAGGGAAATGTTTCACATTTTCACCAACGTCTTAAATTCAGCTTGTCCTTAATTCATCTTGAATGGTGTTGACTTGAATGTAGTTAACTTGAATCATCATCAAAATCATCTCTTGGAAATGTAGGGACATTTCCATCAATTTCCCCTCATTGCTTTCAATCTCCCCCTTTTTTATGATAATCAAGGAAATACCTGAAATGAATTAAAATACTTGACTCTATATAGTCAGCTCAAGATTAGCACAGATTAGCACAGATTTGTATCAAGTGTCAAAGTCTCTTAATCTCCCCCTGGATATATTAATAACAATACTCCCCCTAACTCATATAAGCAAAGACTTCTCTTAACTCCCCTTGTTTAATCTAGAGATAGGAAAGAATTTCACACAGATTTTAATTCATCAAAAAATCTCCCCCTGTTTCATTGATAATCATAAAAAAATATTATAAGAAAAAATCTCCCCTTGTTTCACACAGATTAATATCATCAAAATATCTCCCTGTTTCATTGATAATTATGAAAAATATTATAAGAGAAAATAAATCTTCCCCTGTTTCACACAGATTAATATCATCAAAATATCTCCCTGTTTCATTGATAATTATGAAAAAAATTATAAGAGAAAAAAAAAATCTCCCCCTGTTTCACACAGATTAATATCATCAAAATATCTTCTTGTTTCATTGATAATTATGAAAATTATTACAATAGAAAGCTGAGAACAAATTTGCACATATTAGTACATAAATCAAGGTAGAGAAGATGATGTATTACAAAGTGTCATAAAGAAGAAGATCATATTAAGGAAGTAATATCTAGGATACCCAAGACAAAATGAAGAGAGAGAAAGATAGGGGAATAGAATGATTATGGAATGAAATGCGGTAGTTTCCCCCAATTGCGAGTCTTCTTATTTAGGCGACTTTCAAATTCAAATGCACTCATATTCCGGTTTCAAAATTCAAATTCAAATTGCAACAAATTTCAAATTCAAATTTCAAATTCCAATTCAAATTCAATTTCAAAAATCTCAAACTGCAAAAATTTCAAATTTCAAATTTCAAATTTCAAATTTCAAAAATCTCATATTGCAAATTTTTAAAATAAAATCTCAAACTGCAAAATTTCAAATTTCAAAAATCTCAAATTGCAAAATTTCAAATTTCAAAAATCTCATACTGCAAATTTTAAAAAAAATCTCAAACTGCAAAATTTCAAATTTCAAAAATCTCAAATTGCAAAATTTCAAATTTCAAGAACGGTAAACTGCAAAATTTCAAACTATAATAATTTCAAATTTTTATAAATTCAAACTTTCAAAATTCAAACTTTCAACATAATTTATTATGACAACAAGAAAAAATTTCCGATTCGATAATCAATTAGATGGTCAAACTATCATCT